GTATTTCCTCTGTATCTCTGGTGTCCATAGGAAATATTGCTAACAGGAAGATTTGTCTTCTGGAACCAGCTAAGTTTGAGAAACTGATCCTAAACTCTGAGAACTGGAGCACTTGGAACAGATTTGCTCAGAAAGGATGCAGAGTGTCCTTCACTGGGGATACCCCATAACCATTGGGATGCTGATCTCGTGCTGTATCCTCTGGGATGACTCTGCTGCGAAGTTGGACCAGTTTTAGATAAACTTGTATCCCAAATGGTCCAGAGTCACCAGCTTGTTTGTGGGTTGTGGTTTCTTTTTTGTTTGGTTTAGTCTGGTTGTTTTTCTTTTCCCAAACAGAATGTGTTAATATTTTCACTCCAAGATTTTGTCAGTGATGGTTTAAAATCAGGAATGGAGTTGATGCCTATGACGAGGCCAGATTCCCGTTTTTCTTGTTTGTAGCTCATCCTTAAAAGTGACCTTTTAATTTTGGTTTTCTTTTGTTTGTTTTTGTTATTAGTTGGCTGCTTGGTTGTGGTGTTGGGTTTTTGTGGGTTTTGTTTGTGGTTTTTTTGTTCTTTCCAAGATATGGGTTGAAACCACATGGTATTTTGCAATGTTGGTTTGCATCTTTTGAAGTACAGCAGATTCCCACTAGCACACTTTATTACTCTGTAGTAGCTTGCAAGTGTACAGTTTCCAAAGTTAAAATGACTTAATTTTTAAAATAATAATTTAAATAGGATTGACTCTAATTAAAGAGAAAAAAGAGTTTGAAAAATATCAAAGTGAAATGTGCCCAAGCCAAATACTGGCAATGTAAAAATTTCCGAAGCAGAAATGAGTCATATAAAATTAACTTTCTTAAGAACTGCTATGGCCTGTTAGTACAGCTATTGCTGTCAGCATTTTCAAGTTAAACACCATTTACAGTGATTTTATTTCACATCAAATTCAACTATAAGCTTAAATGCAAATGTCCCAATAATAGTTTTTGTCCTGGTAAAGCTTTTTATTTTATTTCTTTCAGAGGTAATTATAATGTCTGGGGGGATGTAATGCAAAATATATTATTGATGAAACCTTGAAGTCAGAAAAATATATCTATGCAGGGAAACTGGATATTAGGTTAGTGTACAGACAGTTGATGAGAGGGAAAATGGGAAAAGGGAAAGACTGATGTTTTGGAAGAAGAGCTTTGGGTGGGATGGGCAGGAGCTCGGGCAGAGTTTTGGGAAGGTGGAGGTGGAGAGGTGGTTTGGGAGGAGGATTTAGGTGGTGGGGCTGGGGGCTGGTGCAAATGAAGAGATGTGGGATGGAATTTCTTCTCCTTACACCCAGTTTAAGAACAGTGTGTTAGCACACGTACACAACACATCCCGACTAGCCCTGGAAGTCCTGATTCTCCGTCTGCTTCTCTGCATTTAGAAACACTGAAATCCTATCCAGTGCCCTTCTCAAGGAGAACAGCAGGATCTGAGAGTTTATTCCAGTGGAAAAATGAGTGATTAATTCATGAGCTAAGAAACTGGAGTGTGTGTGTGGCTTCCCTCTCCTTGTTTGGCGTTGTCATCCTGATGTTTGCAAGCGAGCAAAAAGAGTGAACAGTGAGAAAACCGAGCTGTTCCCACCCTAATGGGAGGGAAGAGCTGTCCTGGGAGCAAAGCAAAGGCAGCAGCACAGCACGTCCCACAAGAAACACACGGGCTCCGTAACAGAGCCATTTATACTGATCTGATTACACTGCAGTTTAATAAACCTCCTCGGCAGACTCTGCATATATCACAGATGCTGTTAGCTCCTATAAGGTTAGTAGATATATCTGAGTTTTGTTTCAGGCAAATAGGTATTTGCAAACTAAGTGTGTTTGAGAATGGAAAAGCTCTGTGTTAGTAATACATGCCCAGCATATTAGAGACCAGCTTAGGCTGCCTTTTTGTTACTTGATACTTCTCTACTGGGGAAGAAGGAGCTTCCTGCAGTCTTTCTGCAAGCCCCAGGAGTTCTGAGATTCTGAAAAGGCAGCAGGCAAATATATTCATGTACCTATGCACATTGGGATGGCCCAGGATGTTATAGCTCAGGTGGATGATGCATTTGATTGTAGGCAAATTAATTCCTGCTCCAGCTGGACATTGTTGTGCACGAGTCTTTTCCATCAGGGTGCTGCACAGACCCTGTCATGGTCGTGTGGCTGTCCTTTGTGTTGATATTAATTGTATCCTGGCCCACAGGGCTGTTCATGATACAATAAAATCAGTGAGAGGTTTTGGAAGAGGTTAAATATTCTATATCATTCATCTGTGCCAAAAAGGACTTACTAATGAAGAGACAACTTTAGATTCAACTTAGCTGTGTTTCATAGGCTGTTCTCCAGTCTGGTCTCTCTGTTGTTTCTGCTGTGACACTGCTCAGTCTTTCAGGTTGCATTCATCTGAAGTGAAATGTGAACAACTGGTGAGTTTTGTCATCTGTTTTCATCTGGTGGCTCTATGGAGTGACAAGGTATTTAATTGTCCTGCTGTAACTGAACTGCTTGCCAAGCCCATATCCCAAAGGTGAAGGAAGGGAGAAATCATTACTGCACAAAATTAAGTCAGTGCTGATGGAAGTATCACATTATTATTTTTGAATTACAGGGTAGTGTAACATTGCTGTTGACAAGGGCATCATAATCTCTTCTGCAAACAAGTTTTGTCAGGGATTTATAACGCTGAAGAAATTTGTCTAGGCCTGAAACTTGGCATGAACTCGTTTAACAAAGTACTAATTTGTTGTCATACATACTTTAAAGCCTTGCAAGTGCAGTGGGTGTTGAGTTCCATGATCAGCACAGCTATTGGCCCTTTGAACAGGTGATATTCCATCTGTTTTGGGGGTTTTCCTAGGCACAAAAAGATTACAGGGACTTAGAGGAAAAGGGCTTTGTACAGAAGATACTGAGAACGAAAGACCCCTTCAAAATGAGATGAGCCAACAGCTCTGGAATTTTGGATTTGTGACTGTACAAAGAGGCCACAATGCCTTCAGGAGAGTTCCTGGGTGAATTTTGCCTTTTCAGTGCTGAGTGGCCTGAGCAGGGCTGGCTGTGGGCAGCCTGTTAACACTTGCCACACTTCCTGAGGAGCATGAGCCTGCTAATTGTCTATTGCTAATCAGCTAGTTACGAGCTGCATTTTATTGCAGTCACAAACAGTTGACAGTAATATGATCATATTGCTTTTTCCTTGTTGGTTTCATAAAATGTTCATGTAAACTCACCTTTCTGTTATGGAGGTATTGGGGGTGGCAGGACCTTTAATGAAGATCGTATTCTATAGTTTTCAAAAGCTTTGCTGGTAAGGGATTGAAACAGGGGAAGTTATCAAGAACAGAAGTTTCTGGTGGTTCCATAACAAGATGTTTCCATCAGGCAGGATGTAAATGTGTTATTTTTAAGGTCAAAGCACAGGCAGAGAGTTTTGAAATGGGCTCGTTAAGGCAATAATGATCTGATAAAGCTGACTCTCCTGATTTCTTGTGTACAGTTAATTGAAAGGACATTTAGCTTTGGTTTGATACCTCTCTACAAACATTCTCCTCACAAATCAGTGGAAGTATAGAAATGTACATCAGCTTTATTGGTCATCAGCTTGGCTCTGTCCAGTGTTCCAGAGTTTATGATCCCCTTTGCTGTCCCTATACAGTGGCTTTAAAGCTCACTTGGTGCATATTCAGACTTCTGGCATTTTGCAGTTGCTCTTTTATCTTTATAATAAAGCATGTATTTAACAACAATTAAATGTTGAAACAGCTTGCTGGCAGATGGGGTGAATTTTCTATCTCCTGAAGTTTTCAAAAATGTCTTTCAAAAATATGTTCTTTTTATGGTCTGTGTTATAGAAAAGACTGAACGAGAATATTGCAGTGCTTTTTCTTGACTTTCAATTTTTTTCTGTATTCCTATTGTCTTTTTTTTTCCTTTTCACAATTCACTCTTACTGTATATATGTAGTCTTTTCTTTTCCTTCCAATTGCAAGTCAAAACTGCATTTAATACATAATGTTTAAGTCATGCCTACTTCCTTAACCAGCTAGATACCAAATTGCAGGGCACAAATGACCTGTGCCTTGAGAACTTTGTAAAATTCCTTTTGGAATGGTTAAATGCAGCTCAGGCCCTGAGCTCAGATACTTCCAGGTAAGTTTTGCTGTGTCCTTAGACTGAAACAATGAGTTCAGAAGTATTAGTGGAAAAAGTGGAGTGAACAACTGCAGCTACTCTTGCATTCTTTGCATTCTTTAACTAAAGGACGTGTGTTGCTAATAAGATTCCCATACTCCAAAGACTGGTCTCAAATATAAAACTGAATTGAACATTGATTTTTTTATTTTAGGTCATATAGCTGCTTGTGTTTTTCCTGTTGTTTTGATGCTAAGTGGTGAAATGGGGTTACTACTCATCTGCATAATAACCATTACTAAGCATTTCAAGATATTTCATATGAATTTTTATTATGCATTTATATGTAGATTTAAATAACCTTTATTAATACACTCCATTGAACAATAGCAGACTTTTTTTTTCAATATCATAAATATGGGGAAAACATAACTACCACAGATAGGCAATGGTCAACATTTATAAGCTCAGCAAGATTAATATTTGCCATGAAACTGCATCTGAAAAATTGCCTTAATTCTTGTTTATGGCTAGTACTGTATTAATCTTCCAAGGGTTTACTTATTTGGCTAAAACAGTTTGTTATATGACATCAGGAATTCTAGAGCCAAAATTATGTGTTTATGAAATGCAGTGATGATTTACTTTGCTTAAAGAGCAAAACATCAGTCTTTAATTTCTAATAAAAAGCAATATGGAGTTGGGAAGATGAGGTTGTTGGGCAGTTGATATTACCTAGCAGCGATCTCTGTCACTGACGGTTTGCAAATTAATCCTTCCACTAATAGAAGAGGAAACGGAGTGAATATCTTCAATATATTGAATATCAATATATTGAATATCCTGAACAACCTGGATGGAGAGGCAGAGCGCTCCCTTGGGAGACCTGGAGGTGATTTACAGCCTGGGGATTGTGGTGCTGAAGTTCAGAGCATCCTTCACTCCTAAGGGCTGGGCTAACAAAGTCCACAGAGGGCAGCCACAGCAGCTTCGCAGCTGTTTGACTTTGCAGCCATTTGTGGACTCCACTGGGATTTAAAGACTAAATTTGCAATTGTTATTTAAATGAATAATCCAGGCTTTCACACTAATTTAAGGGGCTTTAGCTCATCTCACTCTAAACTCTGTTGCTCCCGCTGCATATGGAAGGGTTTGGACTGCAGGGTGAGGATTGATTTGCAAAGGGACTGGAATGGTGACTTGGAGCATGTGGGCTCTCTTGGCTGTTCCCAGGCTGACAGTTATGGGTGAGGGAAATTTATATGGCTGTAGGGGGAAAATAGGAACTGTAAATTGGTATTGTATAGAGGCAGATAGCCTTTCAGGGGACAATAGGCTGTTTCATTATATTGGAGCTTGCAAGCAGTTTGCTCTCTTCAGAGAGTTTCAAAAAGCTGAATTCCACTTTGCCATTACAGTGGGTTCCTCTATTACATGGTAATGTTACTTGGAGGTGAGTCTTGGAGAGTGAAAATGCCTTAAAACATGAAAGTGGAGTGATAATGTAGTGTTGTAGGTGTCAGTCTAGCGTTCATCACTATGAGAGGTTTCATATCTTTATCTTCATTTTATTCTAATTGAGAAGTGAGTCTGATGTTTGAAAAGCCCTAAATTACAGATGCTTATGTGTTGGAATGGCTATTGTCAGAGTGTGGGGGGGAAAGGCACCCTGTTGGTGCGCTCTGTCAAAAGTGATTTGTTGAAAATTGACTTTGAGTGTTTGTACTGGAGGTCAGAGTTCCTTTTGGAGGGCTTCTACTTCCATAGAAATATCTAGAAGTGCCACAGTTATGCCTTGCTATTAAAAGAATGATTTTGTTACAAATACTTACCTGGCAGTGCTTTTGATTCATTAAAATGGGAAAAATAAGTGGAGCAAAACAGCTGGGACAATTTCTAAGTAAATTCATCAGTCATTCAGGAACTATGCATTTAAAATACCTATAAATAATAGAATGCTCCATCTAAATGGAAGCTTTTTATTGATATGTAAGTACAGTGTCACCCTGAAGTTTCTTTTTTAATTTATCATTTCCTTGTGTTTAGAAATCAGATCAGGCAATTCATATTATTTCCAGCTTTTCAGCTTTATTTTAGCAGCATTATTTTGTATGGTGTGTGAAATGAGATTGGTGCACACACTTGTTAAGCTTTAAAATTACTTTCAGGTAACAAATAATTGTTTTGGAAACTCTGAGCCTTCACTCAATTTTTTAATATTATCTCGAGGACTGACAAAATAATTGGATAATTTCAGTGGTTTGCCATTGGCATTTTAAATTCCTTTTATTCATATTCTTACAACATATTTCCCATGATGGTGTTCATGGGACTGCTGATCCTACAAAAGACAGGACAATGGAAATGGGGAAATACTGAGAACTTTTGGCTTTATTGCCCGTTTCATTCTCTCAGGTTTACAGAGAACAAATAAATGGATTATGTGTGCACACAGAAACAAACATTTAGGTATTAAATTTTGTTTTAATAGATAAAAAGATGGCCTATCACAAAGTGAGTGCAGACCAGAGGGCACAGGGGCACTCTCCATACCTTGACAACGATGAGCTCCAAGCCACGGCGTTGGAGCTGGAGTGGGACATGGAAAAAGAGCTGGAGGAGCCTGGATTTGACCATTTCCGCCTGGACAGCGCAGCCCAGCAGCACCTGGGGAACTCCCAGAGCCCTGACCTCGACCTGGAGCCCATCCAGCCTTCCTCTTCTCCAAAGGGAAGATTCCAGAGGCTTCAGGAAGACCCTGACTACATCTCCCACTACACCAGACAGCCAAAACCAAAGAGCAACCGCTGCAGCTTTTTTCGGATACTGAAAGTATTTTGCACTGCTTTGATTTTATTTATTTTTGGAATTGTGATAGGATATTATGCACGCAAGAAATGCCCTTCTCCCCCAACATCTCAAAAGCCAAATAATCTTCATATCTACCATGAAATTCTCAAGGAAATCAAAGCTGAAAATATTCAAAAGATTTACAGGTATGTACCTTGGCAGTTTTTTTTTTTTCCTCAATGCTCTCAGGTATCTCTTCTCCTGATTATTATTATTTTTTTTTTAAATATGGAATCTTATTTACAAAACACGACTTTTTTTATATTCGTTTTTATCATGATGCTTGGGAGATGTTCATAAGGATATACAAAATTCATTTTTAATAATGCAAATTTTTGCTAATCGTAACAGGTTTTGCTTTAATAATCTTATATTGCTAAATACATTATTATCTTTAATGTAAATTAATTGAAAACCACAGATTATTCAAATTGAATTGAAATATAGACAGCAGAACAGCTGTCCTAGATCCAGCTGACTGCCAAATAACACTGTTGAAAAGCAAGGTTGATATGATGTTTTGCAATATTTTGTGCTTTAAGAAATCCCCATCTAATTTTTGGCACAAATGTGAACTCCAACTGGTGTTTTTTTCTCTATATGGTAAATGAAACCTTTATTCTCCGTAGGTTTAGGGTGGAAAAATCAACCTTTGCACTCTGAAAGATGGTGATTTGTTTATTTGTTATTCTTTATTATCTGCTTAAAGAATGTAAATTTTTGTAAAATACCTGGGCTTGACTGGGTTCGATTTTATTATTTTTTTGAATGTGAAATCCTTTCACTGGTTTGACAGTCTATAAAACATGTTTGTATCAGAGTACAGTCACTTTTCTGTAGCAGTGAGTGTGGAAGAAAATAGGTTTTCCTGCCAGCTTTTGAAAGTTACTTTATAAGGTGAGTGAAGATGAGTGAAGTTTTTGGCTTCTGGAATGCAAATTCGTTTTTGATGTTAAAGGTAATGCATTACAGATTTTTTGTTTACTCTGAGTTCAGAAGCAGCAGAACTCCCATACCTGAAGTTAGAAAAGATTGTTGTCATGGTCATCCAGGTGTGTTACTGAATAGAACAGAAATTCATCAGAAGGGTGTTAGAACAGGGGTGTTCCAACAATATTTGTCTTATGTTATATTTGCTAAGCCAAGTCTTAAGTCCTGCAGTGGGTAATACCATGTTTTGAGCCAACACTTACTAAATTGAAGAGAAAAAGTAAATATGAAGGGTTTCATGTCAGTTTCATGTACTGAACTGATTCTACTTCATACAAATGTAATTATTTTCATAAGGGGAAAGAGAACAAGTCATGAAAAATGTTGATTTTTAAAGTACAAAGATAACTTGTTTGTCTTTCAGAGAGTAAATTGAACTGAATTCTGTCATTAGGCTTTGTCACAACCGAAGTATTGGAGTAAGCTAAGGCTGAAGATTGGGTGTTATACAAATTACAGCAAATTGCTGACATGTCTGTCAGACTCAGGATAATACTTCAGTTCTTTGTGTTTTGGGACTGGGAATAACTTGCCATTCTATTATTTCAAAGGGTGGTTTAAAACCATCTCTTTTAAAACCCTTTATCACTTGTCAAATGATTTCAGCTTGCTATTGGGATACTAGTGAGAATCTGGATTTTAGGTAAAATGAATAACATAAATGCTTGGAAACTTAAAAAACTTATGTAGTTGCCATCCTGTAACATAATTCTTAATATTTCTTTGGGTTTCTTTTATATTTAATAGCATGATTTCAGTGAAAGCAGTCAAATATTAATTCAGCTACCTATCAACTCTGTATATAAATATATAATCAATGCTTTTAGTATAATGCATTACCCACAAGGCTTTTCCTACCCCAGCATTTTGTTCTGAGACAGCTTTTATCACATGTTGTGTTCTGTTGCTTTCCCCAACATCTGTTTGGCAGGAGTCAAGAGTGACTGCAATGAAACCTGGCTGTGTGTAGGCCTAGGAGGACAGAACATGCTACATATGTTGCTTGGGGGAAAAAAAAAAAGAAAAGCCCAAACCTGACAAAATCAATATATGTTGTTGGAAAACTTCCTTCAGTAAAATACTTTGAGTTACTAGGAATAAGTGGCAGCTGCTTAGCTTGCAATTTCTAAATGTTACTGAGCATGACATTAATTTAATTTTCGTTGTTTACTCCTTAGATCAGGCTCAGATGGTATGGGAGTTTGCTAACAGTCCTGTAAAGGAATTAGGAGGAAAAAAACCTGTTTAAGGGACACAGAGGTGCCAATCATAGTTCTGGAACAGACATCACCTTAATGTGCTTGAAGGTCTGGGGTGGGAGTGAAATCTGCTCATGGTTGGATGAAGCTTTGAGGATTTGACCCTTCACAGTTCTGAAGAGGTGGCAGAAGTGCTCCAGGGAACTTGTGTTGGCTCTGTTTGGATTTGGACTGGATTTTGTGTGAGTTGAATGAAGCCTGTCTACCAGTCCCTGTTAGGAATGGAAGGGGCTGAGTCCCCATCCCTGGAGGGATTTAGGGGACGCGGAGATGTGGCGTTCAGGGACACGGTTTAGTCACCTTGTCACTCAGCAGTGCTGGCTTAATGGCTAGACTCAATCTTAGGGGTGTTTTCCAGCCTGAACAGTTCTGTGATGGTGTAGGATATCTGCAGTTTGTGTTCATGGATTGCTGAATTGGGATATTCAGCTGTTCCTTGTGGCTTCTCCGCTGGCGGCTCCTGGTGAGCTCCTCTTTTGTCAGTCCCATCCTGGCTGTCTTTATCACCCACAAGGTTTTTTCTCAAAGTGAGAAGCTTCCATATCCAAGTGTTTCTTGTTTCCTGGTCAGTTGTAATCAGCACTGTTAAAACCTGGGGCTTCAAACCTTTTTTGCAGGTAAAGCCTGTGAAATGCATACCTAAGGAGCAAAGAGAGCCTGGAACTTCTTGGAAAATGGGAATTCTGGAGATTTGGACTGAGTGAAATGTACAGGCTGGTGCTTGCTGAGTTGCCTTTGCCCCAGGAATGAGGAATCCCTGCAGGAGCAGAGGCTCCTCAGGAAGGGTCTGAGGAAAGGAGTGCTTGTTCCCCTGGGCAGAGATCCATTTAGTGCCTACTCCTATTAACAGCTACTGTTAATTAATTAACAGCTGCACTGACCTCTCCCTGTGCTGACCTAGACCCCTGCTCACTTCACTCATCATCAGTTTTGTCCCCTATATACAAATTTTGGGGTTTTTTTGTCACACCAGCAGCTGAAAAGAGCATTGCAAAAAGCAAGTCTCAGTGGGATCTCATTCTGTTTCCTCCTGGATATCAGTTCCAAGTATTTCTTGTGCTTCTATCAAAAATGCAAGTATTAAATCTAGCTAGGCTCGGTCTGAAGCCAGACCTGCTTCATCTTGGGAAATGGATGTTGGCATATTCCCAGGGAACCAGGAGCCAAGTGAGCTCCCTAGATCTATTTCATTCCCACTGCAGAATCACTTGGGATTCTCTTCATTCACATGATAATTTTGAATGTGTATTTATAAGTACAAAGCCCCTTTTGAAAGGAGATAAGAGTAATATCAAACAACAGAAAGTTCCCACTTATCCCCCTGCCACCTCCCCATTGAAGAATGGCTCTGGGAACATGGGGAGGTGTCTTTTGTGGAGGAAATATGCCCTGTGTGACCCAAGTGCTATCTGTGGAACAGAGACTCGATAAATTTAGGTTTCAGATACCCACTTATGTCAAAAATGATTTCTTTTTAAACCAAAAAATAGGTTATATCTGTACTTCAGAGGTGTTAATAGAAAGGCTCGTCTGTTTTATAGTTTTCCTGAGTTTCATTCTTTTTTAAAATTTTGTTTCTTTTCCTTAGATGAAAAAAGGATGCATTATATTGATCTAATGCATGAGGAGGACATGTAAGTTTGATCCTGTTAGGGTCAGCTTCAGCATATGCTTAAATTTAGATGTTTAATTCGGGAAATAATTTACAGTAAAATCTTATTTTTTTGTATTGTAACTGTATCCTTTGTAAATTAAATACATAGTGTTACCTTAAAATAATTTTCCTTAGCAATGCACGTTCGATTTCCTAAGCAATAAGTGTGATATGTTAATGAATTAGAATCAATAAACTATATTATGTCATGTCAGCATAATAAGTGATAAATCCCTTGATAAATTTACTGTCTGTCACACCTAGATGAATGGCTTTAGTCCTGCTGCCGTACAGTGCCTTGTGTCTTCTGAAAAAGTGACAACAGTTTTTGATAGGCTATGAAGTATAAATTAATTTTGCTCTGATCACTTACTTTTAAATTCCATAATCTTACTTATTTTAAAGATTACTTTGCTGGAATTGCTTCACTGTCCTCATAAGGGGATTGTGGTTAGGGTTTAGAGAGAGAACCAATTTCCATGGCCATTAGCTGTCTGCTTCTTTACCATCGATGCTTTAAGTGTGGGGCAATTTAGTGCCAATTAGAACAGCAATTCTGAATGGTGACAAGTGCTACTTTGCCTAATAGATGATGAAATGAGCTGTGCCAGCCTGGCTGAGGGAGTAATTTGCTTTTTAAAGGTCTGGCATTCCACATTCCTGCCTGTTTGGGGTAACAGAGGGATGGAGGAGGGCCTGATGATGCCTTGAATCCTTCTGCCAGCTGGGCTGCCCCAGCACATCTTGCTCTCTAGGTGTCTGGTGCTGTTTGGAAAGCTCAGATTTTCAAGAGATGGTTTCTGTTTCAGGGACAAACTGGAATGGATGGTGAAACATCTGTGGATTTTAAAAATCCATCCATTTTAAGAAACTTTTGGTGAGTGATAGGCTCTGTACTTGACTTTACGTGAAAAACAGAAATACTTGACTGGAGATTTCTGAGCAACTCTGACACTAATGCTGGCTAAAAGGCAGTATTTAGAAGTTAAAGAGTTATTTACTTCGCCATCTATCATTTTTTATAGATTTCACCAAGTCACATTTTTCCTAACAGGAAGAACCTGAAGGGAAAAAAGCACACAAGCCTGCTGAGATGACAACCAGTTTTCACTGCAGTTCCATTGGTAAATGGAACACACACTTCCATTTGGTAAATACCATAGGGTGAAGAAATTGGACAGAGTTGTCCTTCACTGTCCAGTCCTTGCAACTCAATCCAAGGAGGATCAGCAATTTTGGCTGG